TACATCGGCAGTAACGTGTGCCAGGTGGCAGGCACTCTGCCCTCCTCTTCAGGGTACACAGCACACTCCAGATGGTCCCGAAGTGCCCAGGAAACAAGGGACCAGAGCCCAGCGCTCTCCAATTCCCCGAACTCTTTCCTGGGGACACTTGGAAGCAGCAGGGAGGACAGGAGGTGGAAGGTGCTGCATGTGGCAATACTGCTAGAAACACTATTTAGTGCTACATCGTAGAAACAGTGTGAAACAGCATGTGGTGGTTGTATCACACATGGAGCTGAGATTTCCAATGATGAGCGTGGTATCTGACCAGGCCTGAGACCCACAGGGGCGGAACCAGGTAGCAGAACCAGTTACCCTGGGACAAGCTGTGGGGGATATAATTTCTGGCTAAACCACCACCACCCATGGGCTTCATGAAATGTGTCTGGCCTAGGACAGCAGGTTCTATAGGGCACGACCGCTGGACACTGGGCTGCCCACCCCCCAGGCACTGTCCTGCAGGGCCAGCCCTGCCTCCTCCTGATGCCCACGCCCACCCACCCTCCTGGCCTCAATAATGGACAGGGCAGCAGAGCAGCAGGAAGGTCAAGCAGCGGCAAGAACGGTCCTCGTGCGAGTGTAAGTACCAGTCTATTTTAAATCCCCATCTCAAAAGGAATTCTGAAGCACTCAAATGCTTCAGATATTCTTAGCCTTGCTGCCTGAGAGCACCACGCACTGCCAGCCTTTCAAAGCAAATTCCATGCTTTTATCGACACCAGGCTGTTCACGTCAGTTTGACACACAAATCACACTACCAAAGTAGCAACACACCCAGATAGGCTTCATAAAACGCAATAAACCTGAAGACGTCGACACTTTAAAAAAAAGTGCTATGGAAATAATCTGAAATGGTTGCAATTAAGCTACTGTAGACGCAAGCAGAGCAGTGCATACATTAGGGAGACAGACGTGTTAGTACAATCTGCCAGACAATGTCTCCTCTCTGGGGAGGGGTGGGAGCAAGGCATCACCTTCCCAGGGGGTTGTCAAGTGGATCCCTGAGCCCCCAGCCCAGGGGCAAGAGGGCACCTCACCTCCCCCACCCCAGGCTGGTGTCCATGTTGGCCCCATGACAGAGCAAGATAAGGAGAATGACTCCCACAGGATGGTACTGGCTCCACAGTAACCCCTCAGGCACTGGGGCTCCGAGAGGCTGAGGGTTACTGTGGTCCAAGTACCCAGGTCTCCTGATAGCTACTGAGCCCCTCTCTATGCCAGGCCACTGCCAGGAGCTGGGTACAAAAGGAAGACCGAGGGCCCTGCCCTCACCAGGACCATGGTCTGGTGGGGAGACACCAGATGATGCCAACATCCCCACCCTGATCCTGAGGGGAGAGAGCTGGAAGGACGCCCAGCACGATGACCAGGCTGGGCTGACCAGGCATGGAGCAGAGAGCTGGGATCCTACATGGCCACACTTTGAGAAGTCCCTTCCCACTGGCCAGATTCGATCTGTGTGAGAGATCCCCAAGTGCAATCCCATGCCCCTTCTAGACCAGAAACCAAGACCAAGGTCAAAGTGCCTTCTAGAAGATTCTTTCTGTCAGAGATGCACTGCTGTGTCCAATGCCAACCCTGCTTATGGCTTCCCCATTGCACTCGGGAATTGGGTTGTGGAGAAGGGTGTAGGTAAGGTGATGGGTGGACACAAGGGCCATCCCAAGCAAACCAGGGGTACAGCATGTGACAGCAGGAGCTGTCCTCAGGGCTGTAGCCAGAGAGCACTTAGTGCTGGTGACAGGAGGCAAGCATGCAGAGCCAGGTGTCTGTCCTGCTACATCCCCCAGGGAGGGGGCAACTGTGCCCTCACATTCTCTGGGTCCCCTCCCATGGACAGCTCTCAAGGACTTCCTACTGCATTTTCTCACACTTCACCTCCCTCAAAGCCAGTCCCACCACTTTCCCACTACCATACATCCCAGCCACTTTTCTGTGCCCCCACCATCTCACTACCATCCAGCCTCCCTGCCAGGATCCCTGATGCCACTTCTGCGCCAACCTCCCTGAGACCAGCAGCTTTTCTCAGCAGCCTCACTGCTTGCTGCAGGGCCTCGTGACCCCAGAACACACTTTTGCCCCAGAGTCACGTCTACGAGAGCTCAACCTGCCCTTAGTCACCACATGCTGGGACTCAGCATTGGCCTGCTTCTTCCTCTCTCTCTCTCTCTCTCTCTCTCCCATTTCTCTCTCTCTCTCTCTCTCTCTCTCTCTCTCTCTCTCTCCCTCCCTCCCTCCCTCCCTCCCTCCCTCCCTCCCTCCCTCCCTCTCTCTCTCTCGGGAAAAGGTGGGTTTTCTTTCCTTAAGGTCCCTCTGCCGGCCAGATGCCCTTAAAATTGGGGCATCTTCGCAGAGCTGAGCAGATGAGAGGCAGTGTTCCTACCATCCATCCCCCTGCCCAGCAGAGTCCTTGCTCTCCTCCTACTGTGGCTCCCAAGGGGCCTGGGATGATCATTGCCCAGTGGGTTCTAAAAAGGTGGAGTCTAAAAAGAATAAAAAGAACCTAGGAAATTTCCACCTCAGTGCTGGAAGATAATGGTCCATGGGGAAGGGCAGGGGCGCCATCTAGTGGCCCTGAGGGGAGCTACACCCAACCGAACTGGGATGCAGAGAACAGTTGCTCTGATACATGGGCCAAGTCACTGGCCAACACCATGAAATATCACCCAGGCCATCCAGCAGGCCCGGCACACACACACACCCCACACTCACATAAGCATACATACACAAAAACACTTCAACTATAGAAACACACATAAACATACATATACACACTAACACTCCCATATACACACACACACACATAAGCACACATATACACACTCAGGAGTACTCTCACACTCACACACAAACATAGACGCAGCCTGTGGATCTGCACAGGAAGTCAGAAGGCTGCTTGTGGGCACTCAGCCTACACAGCTCACAGACAGCATGCTGAGTGCCGGGAGGTGGCAGGCAGAGCCCCCAGGGAAGGGCAGGTTCACTCACACCACAAGCTGCACTCCCAGGCCCTGCCCTCCTGTCTGCAGGTATGGATTTGGGGCAGAACGTGGACCCCTCTCCACCAGGTCTAGGCTGGGGCCTCTGTGGAGTTACAGCCTAGCCTTGCCATGGTGAGAGGAGGGGACAGGATGGCTGCATGGACACTGGGACATCCTGGACAGCATTGGGACAATGTCACTAGCCAGGAAACACTTCTGCCCAATTGCTCAGAATCATGCTCATGGGTATGAGATTTGGGTCTTATGAAAAGGGCATCACCAACTTGCCAATCTCTTCCAATTTTACCCCTAAAAGGTAAATACCGCCCAGCATGGAGGCTTTGATGACCAACGGCTAATGCAAAGCCACCGCACGCCACCAAAGGAGAGAAGTGGGCTGAGAACAAGCCCTGTAATGGTAACAGGACCCCCTACACACGCAGAGCAGCACAGTTCAAAGGCCAGAGGCCCAGGGCTGGCAGGATAATGGCACCAAAGACATCTCAGTCCTAGTCCGGGGACTGTGGACATGGCACCTCAGATGGCAAAAGATTAAAGACCCTGGAATGGGGATGACCCTGGATATCCCTGGGGGAAAGGGGAGGGAGGCAGGAGGGTCAAAGTCATAAGTAGAAGAGACTGCACTATTGGCTGTGAAGATAGAAGCATGGCTCCTATAGAAGCTGGAAAAGGCCGATTTTCCTATGGAGCCTCCAAAAGAAAAAGCCCAGCCCACACCTGTGAGATTCCTGACCTCCAGAACATGACAGAATAAATGTGTGTGTACTAAGGCTTGTGGTCATTTGTTACAATAGCCCTGGGACACTCATACATATGCTCCCATGTCTGTGTCCAGTGCTTTTCTATCTTTCTCTGCCTATCTGAGAGGAAACAGCTTCGTTCACATAAGAGGTGAGGAGAGCACGGTCATACAGCAAAAAGAAGAAGAGAGAGGCCTAGTTTCCCACCCAAAATCTCCTCCTGGCTCCTAAGTCCTCTGCTCACAACTCTTGTTCTGCCCCCCTCAGCAAAGTGCTCCAGGAGGACCAAGCAACTTAAAGGGGTTGAGGTGCCTATGGGCTCAGTCAAGGTAAGGGATGCTTTGGCCAGAGTCTGCTGCCTGTGTCCCCAGCCATGCTGTGTCTCCCTGCCCCCGTCCCTCACTGCCCCCAACTAGCGTGGCTGAGGTCTTGAGTGCCACAATCTGCTCCCGGGCCTCCCCTGACACTCCTCTGAGCTTCGCTGATTATTGTGACAACAGAGGCAGGGATGTGCAAAGCCTCAGCTCAGAAATCTCTGCTGGAAACAGCAGTGAACAAACAGAAGGCAGCTGCCTCCCAGCCTGCCAGCAGAAGCTGGATGTGATGTGAGTGTTAGCTCAGAGATTCCAGAACACAGAGCACACTGGACATATCCCCAGCCTGCAGAGCCCAGCACTCACAGAATGGCCTTTGGGACAGCTCACCCACCCCTGCTCAGCACCTGCAAACCAGTGGGGACCCCAGGCAGAAGGAGCCTACTGCTAATCTCACCCCTCACACCACAGGCCAAGAGGAAGGTGAGGGAGGCTCAGTGCTCAAGGCTACCCTGTCCCCAGGCCTGCGGGCCCAGGAGTGCTCCAGTACAATAGCCACGTGCCTGACTCCGCCTGGGGAGAAGCTGAGGGAGCCTAGACCAGCCACTGCTCAGTGGGAAGCTCTCTAGGCCCAAACCCCAAACTCCACAAACCAGGAAGCTCATTTCTGAGGGGCACATATACCTCATCCCCAATCTGGTGTAAACTGAGGCTGCCCTGAGCCAGTGGGGACAGAGCCAGCAGATCTTGAGCTACCAGAGCTCCTACCTGGCCCACCCTGCCTGACAGCCCTGCCTGCCTGACCCAGAGGAGCCCATCCACCTGCCCTCCCCCGCCCTTTGCCCTGCTGGCAGTGGAGACCCTCCACCCTGTGAAGCAAGTCAGGCCGCTGGCTGGACACTCACCATGACTTGGGCTCCCCAAAGTGCAGGTAGTTGATGCTGTACAGGTCCATGTCCTCTGTGTGCCAGGCGAAGGTGGTCTTCCACATGCCAAAGTACAGGTAGGGAGTGTTGACACCCTCGATGATGGTGCCGCACTCACGTTCCACCATGTCCAGGATAGTCCGAAGGTTCCCGATGTTCCACTGGGCCACATCCTGTGAGACAGCAGGCACACAGTCAGTGGGCCGGCCATCCTTGGGGCACCCTGGCCCCACCAGCCCCAGACATTAGTGGGAGGACAGGAAGTATCCTTCCCTCTGAGCTGCCTGCTGCTGTGTGAGCCCCCATGAGGGCCCAGAAGCCTTGTTGTCAGCTCCAAACCTGCCCACTTCAGAGCTTCACCCACCCCGTGTCCAAACGCATCCTGGCTGCTCATATCCTGCAGATGCTGACTGACTGCCCTGTGCCATGCAGTTGGGTAGAGCTTTCTCTAGACTCCACATTGAGTTATGTATTAATCTCAGCAGTAAAGACCTCAGTTTGGTCATGAGTAACTAGTGTACCTCAAAGTCAATGACACAGAAGGAGGAAGACAGCTGCCGGGTGGGGCTAGACCAGCGAAGGTGCCAGACAGCCCTTCTGGAACCTCCGCATGGAGGAGATGGAGATGGTTCTCAGAACCAAGCAAGCAAGGCTAGAATCCCCACCCAATCTATTCCTAATGCCACAAGCAAGCAATCTACGTCCTATCCATAAGAGCTCACAAAATATGCTTTAATCAACTTCCTTTCCCTAGAGAACCCTTCAAGCCTGTTGAGATGTGAGTGCACATCAGCCATCTTTCTGCCCCAGTCCACCTTGTACCACCTACTCTGGTCCACATTTCAGGCCCTTGATTTGGCAAGACCAGTGGCTGATCTTTGTAAGGTGAGTCCCGGCAGAAGCCCAGAACATGGGGTGTGGGGAGGAGACAGTGACCAGACTCCTCAGTATAAGAAAGAAAAACCCAAGGTCGCCTTGAACAGAAGCTTCCCTAGGTCAGGGCTCATCAAAAAGAGGTCACCTCTCTAAAGCCTTGTCCAATTCACCTCACTATTCAGCTCACACATCCACAAGGCGGCCACAGGCAGGGGACCGCGGATCTAGTCTAAGCCAGGCAATAACCCATTGTGTGGCCAGGGGAAGTTATTTCTCTGCTTGAGCCTAAGTTTCCACATCTGTAAAGGAGATTGTTGCACTAGATCAGGCACAGGAAACACGAGGCCCCAAAACCTCTTCAGGAAACTATGGCAGGCGTTGCTCACGATCTCAGCACTGGCCCCGCCAAGCCTCACTGGGCAGCAGGTCCTTCACGGGTCCATCACTACGACCAATTGCAGGCAGCACACAAGAGCAAACCCAGGTGTTCTCCCTGGACAAGGCTTTAATTTTTTTTTAACTTTTGAATTTCTATTTGAAAACAATGCAGTCTTTAAGAGAATGAGAAGACAAGCCCCAGACTAGGAGAAAATATTTGCAAAAGAAATCTTGAAACTCAATAATAAGAGAATAAACAATCCACTTTAAAAATGAGTCAAAGACCTGAACCTCACCAAGTAAGATACACTGATGACAAATAAGCACATGAAAAGATGCTCCACATCATGGCACCAGGGAAATGCAAATTAAAACCACAATGAGCTACCACTACATACCTATCAGAACGGCCAAAATTCGCAACACTGACACCACTAAATGCTGACGAGGATGTGGAGCAATAGGAACTCTCACTTATTGCTGGTAGAATGCAATATGGCACAATCACTCTGGGCAAAAAGAAATGCTGGCCAACAATTCATGTGGGGACTCATGCAGTAGTCCTGATTTTTCTGATACCTTTTAGGAGTCACAAGCCCCACCTGTTCTAACAGGTGAGCATCCAGGAGGGTCCCCACTCTTCCCAGGTGCTATTCCCACCTAACTCCAATCCCACCCAAGACAAAAACTCAAGTGAACTCAGTTCACCTATCATGGTGAACATGGGCTGAGTGAATGAAAGAGACTATCCTAGTAAGACATGACCTTCAGAGTGACAACATAGAGGGGCACAAATGGGGACCAAGAAGACCACCCGGGGCATGGAAAAGGCCATATTTTAGCCCAGGGTACCCCATACAGAACACCCCCAGGAGAGAGCACATCAGTAACTCTGAAATTAGCCTCAGGGTTGTCTGAGGTCCCATAAATATTAATAAACTATCCCCTAAAAACTAAGGGTCTCACTCAACCTCCCTCTGCTTAACACCAGCACCTCTCTGGGCCTCTAGTCACAGTCACCAGCATCTGGTCTAAGTCCTTGGACAGGCCAAGGTCAGGTCCCTCTCTGTTGCCTGGGTGTTCACAAAGCACCCCCAGCCCAGCAAAAGGACCAGAAATAAGTGAACCCATGGCAGCTTGGCCAGCTGAGAACCTGCGGCTGCCAGGATTCTGAGGGTGTAAGATCAGAGCCATCAGAACTCTATAACTCAGTAGAAAAGATTTTGCAAGTCAGAAAACCATAGGATCCCTTTTTCATTCATGCTAAGACTAGGCATGTAGTTGTAATGAGAGCCCAAACAAAAAGCCCGACTAAGCTTGTGTCATTTTAACTTCCATTTTCAATTCCATTTACATTTTCATTCCTTCAACTCCACCATGGAAACTGAGTTCCTCATTTTCCCAAGAACCTCTTGGTCTCCAGAACTTACATCATCGTACAAGGAGCCACTGATGTCGGCGCCATAAATGGGAGAGACGAAGGTGAGGTTCTTCCAGTACTTGCGTTCCAGGTCGTCAAAGTCCTGGTGCCGGGGAGTGCAGTATCTGTGAGCAAATAGCACACCGAAAAGGGGGTCTCAGAGCATGTGTCTGATCTCACAGCTGAACCAGGCCCAGGGCATCTGCCAGATACATCAAGGGATAGGCTCTGCCCTGTCCCCACCACAGGGCACAGCCCCAGAAAACACAAATGTGGTCCCATTGCTGCTGGGACAGCATCTATTCCAGGGGGTGTGTATAGGATGGGCAAGTGGCCCTACCTGGAATAATGCCCATTTATCCCATCTCATCAGCTAGTTGGGCCTGTGGTATATAAGTCACAATGCACATCACTGGAAGTTGGAGCAGGTGGATGGGCAGGGGCTCTGGCTGTTATCATCCCACTGCTCAGCACATACTAAGAGCACTGATTATGGGTTAGGCACTGTCCTGGACACCAGGGCCATTGCGTGAGTAGGCAGACTACACCCTACCTTCAAGGTACACTTATGTTGGAAAGCAAAGGTACTGCTGGAAATGCACAAACAATTTTAGAAAACCAGGAAACTGGGAATAACAAGAACAGAAAGGAGAAAACAGCGGTGGTATGCTCATGAGTGCAACGTGTATGCACTGGGAATGCCCACGAGTACACCCATGAGCACACAGAATGTACATGAGCGTTGCCCATGTGTGCACCATGTTGAAGGAAGCAGCATGCAGGAATGCATATTACAGAGCCCCTCTCTGAGGAGGCACCATCAGAACCGAGACATTATGGGAGGGTATAGGGGATGCACTCCAGGGACAGGGGATAGGTTGAACCCCAAGGGGCAGTCCTCAGTAGTGGGTGTTGAAGGTAGGGTGAGGTGGACAAGTGGCCATGGGTTGGTGAGGGTCTGGATTTCGCCCTCTTTGAATAGGGGGGTCTCTGAGCACGAGGTGTCGAGATCCACCCAGGGTACCCAGTGCAGATGACATGCACTTTGCAGGGGGCTACATGTGCCCTACAATCTCTGCACCCCCAAAGCTCCGGTTGGACTGGGCTTTGCAGACCAAGGGGATGGAGGCCTTTAAGATGTGGCTCCACCTCGGAGATAGGGTTTCAGGGTTCCACCCTACACCTGCCAGGGTCCCGGCTACATACTTCTCGCTGTTGGCCAGGCGGCGGTACTCCCCGACCGTCATAGCCTTCTTCTGGATGTTGTACTGTGTGAAGAGGCCTGACTGGCCCGTCACCACCTGCTGGATGGGGGCTGGGATGACCACGTCATCGATGTCATCATACGTCTGCCGTGGCTTCCACTCCTTCGGGGGGATGATCTGTGAAACCAAGGAGAAGTCAGCGGTGCCTCCAGACAGGCACTTCCACTCAGGACAGGGGGACGATCAGCACGGGCTTTTGACAGAAACCCACTGCCCACTCCTGGGAGACCAGCAGCCACTACCTGGGAAGCACACTTGGGACTGCCCCACAAGGGCACCAGGAACCATCTGTACCTTTATCAAGCACCCAAATAATCTGGTGCCAGAAACATGGGCACCACCAGCTGCATTTGAAGTCCTTTTAAAACCTTTATCACTGGAGGGCAGGGCCATTTCACCCTCTAGCTTTGGAAAAGAGCAAGGCTGTGCCAGACACATGTTCTAGGAATCCCCTTCATTAACACCTACTAGGGAGTAATTACGATGCTGGGGAGGGGAAACATGGGAAAACAAAGACTCATGAGGGACTTACATTCCATGGAAGAGGGCAGAAGATAAATACCTTTAAGATGTGGCTCCATCTCAGAGCCAGGTTTCATGGGGCCTTCCCACAGAGATAAGGAAACTGGGAAGATGACCAGTTGTAAGTACTAAGGATATAAAATAAAGAAGGGCTGGGTAACAAGCCCAGAAGCAGAAGAGATGGTGACAATTCTAAGTGGGAATTGTCAGAAGGTTGCCTTTGAGAAAAGGCACAGCTATTTCATGGGAGCAAATCCAATAGAGCACCAGGCCTGACTGAGCTGATGGCAGATCTCCTGCCCCGCCCTCCCTGCCTTTCTCACAAGGGGACGCTGAGGATCAGCACAAAGGCTTGAGTGTCAGGGCACTGTGCTGGGCTTGCTTGGGCTCAGAAATCCCCTCTTGGCCCCTTCACCTTCCTGGTCAGGGGCGACCTCTGGGCTGGACCAAGGGCCTCCTGAGCATTAGGCACCCTTCTGGGTCCCACAGAGCCAGACTAGTCTCTCCAGTCCCCGGTGGCTGTTTGCAAGCCTCAAGCCCCCTTTCAGAGTGCCCAGCAGACCATCTAACAGCTTTGGGAAAAGGAACTAATCTAACCTATTTTGTTGTTTTTTAAATATTTTATTGATTTCAGAGAGAAAGGGAGAAGGGGAGAGAGATAGAAACAATGATGAAAGAGAATCATTGATCCAATGCCTCCTGCAAGCCTCACAACGGGGATCAAGCCCAAAACCCAGGCATATGCTCTGACTGGGAATCGAATGGTGACCTCCTGATTCAGAGGTCAACACTCCACCACGGAGCCATGCTGGCGGGGCTAACCCAACCTGCTTTCAGAGCATCAGCCATGAACTCTAATGAGGCTGAACCCACACCCTGCTTGGCGCCAATGAGGGAAGAACACCACGCTGATGCCCAAGTTTGCCGACAGCTTCCAAAAGGGATGAAATTTACCACACCCCAGGACTCCACTATCCCATCTATGACGTGGGTGAAAGAAAATGTTTTGCTTGGCAACAAAAACACTTATTCTCCAGTTGCCAGTTAATAACAGAAAGGTGCTGCATCCCTTATCAGCACATACAAGTTTATTTATAAACAAATAAATAACAGAGGAAGTCGGTGGGTCCCTCCTAGGGCAACCCTGCCCCGAAGGGACACTGAGTGATGTCTAGGGACAACTGAGGTTGTCATGATTGTGGGTACTCCTGACATCGAGTAGGTGGAGGAAGGGTGCTGCTCAACACCCCTGCAGTGGCCAGGATGGCCCTCCACAGATACCCGACCTGGATAGCAGCAGTGCCAAGGCTGGGACCCTGATAAGTTAAATGAGGACAAGGACACAACCTTTCAGTGAAGGCTCTTTCTGGGACCTCTTCTCTCACTCTGTCAACTGTGGCCTGGACGCAACAGGCACCTAGAATACCCGCCTGTTTCTGGTGCGAGGCCATGTGACAACAGGGTACTGGCTGGGGTCAGCCTGCCAGCAGAAGGTTTTCTTAGATTTCTAGTGAGAAATCTGAAGGTTCGGGTGCTAAACTAAAACATTCAAGGCTGGAAAAACAAAAAAGAAATAGATAAAAGGCGCTATACCCCCAGGATCCAAGACATTCTTCTATGAGGAAGGATCCATGACCCTAAGCTGCTTTTTAATTATGTTACTGATGTTTCCTTTTGACAGAAAACCCAAACCTCTTTCAGGAAAGTGCCATGACTGCGCAGGCTCTGGACCCACTTCAGTTCTGTTAGAAGCCCATCCCTAATCCCAGCCTGGGGCAAAATGAACAAAGTCAGTCACTCCCGAATTTCCCACTTTCAAACAAGAGCCTGAGGCTATGCCATCCCTAACACACCAGAGTGAAGACGTCTGAAAACCAGGAGGGACCCGCATACACACACGTGCGATGCCTGGTTTGCATACGTGTGAACCACTCCTTCCTGGACACATTCTAAGCAGGTTTTGAAAAACTGCTTAAAAGGAGGGCCACTTCCAGTTGGTCAGGAACCCAAAGCTTCTGGAAAAATCCCTTAGTAATGTATTGTGGCCTAACACCCTCACACCTCTGCAAAATCAGATTTAAAAGGAGGATCCCTCCCTGGCTGGTTTGGCTCAGTGGATAGAGTGTCAGCCTGTGAATTAAAGGGTCCTAGGTTCGATTCTGGTCAAGGGCACATGCCTGTGCTGTGGGCTCAATCCCCAGTAGGGGGCATGCAGGAGGCAGCCAATCTCTCTCATCACTGATATATATATATATATATATATATATTTTTTAATTGATTTCAGAGAGGAAGGGAGATATATTTATATATATCTCCCTTCCTCTCTGAAATCAATAAAAATATATTTTAAAAAATAAAAGGAGATCCCAGGCAAAGGGCATCTGAAAACTATCACCTAAAGAACTTCCAGCATTCTTTTTTTTTTTTAATATATTTTATTGATTTTACACAGAGAGGAATTGAGAGGGATAGAGAGTTAGAAACGTCGATGATGCCAGGACCGGTTTGGCTCAATGGATAGAGCGTCGGCTTGGGGACTGAAAGGTCCCGGGTTCGATTCCGGTCAAGGGCATGTACCTTGGTTGCGGGCATATCGATGACTCTCTCTCATCGATGTTTCTGACTCTCTATCTCTCTCCCTTCCTCTCTGTACAAAATCAATAAAATATATTAAAAAAAAAAAAAAAAAAAAAAAAAGAAACGTCGATGAGAGAGATACATCAACCAGCTGCCTCTTGCACACCCCCCACTGGAGATGTGCCTGCAACCAAAGTACGTGTCCCTGACCGGAATCGAACCCGGGACCTTTTAGTCCGCAGGCCGACGCTCTATCCACTGAGCCAAACCGGTTTTGGCAGAACTTCCAGCATTCTGACTGTCCCTACTTGGCACCTGGTGCACCTGACTGGTTTAGCCCTGGACTGACCCTTGCTCAAAGCTCCTGGAGAGCAAGTTCAGCCAAAGTAAGGCCACACACCTCAAGTGAATGAGGGGGACACTGGGCAAATGGCCTAGGTGTGACTTGTATGGCAAAGCTAGGAGTCTGCACAGTTGGGGTAGTAGGTGTAGGAAACGCTACAAGAGGGCAGGAATGAGGGGGAAGCCTTTGCCCCCCCCCTCCAAAAAAAAACAAAAAAACACACACAACTACCTGGTCCCCAAACCACTCTTCATTGGGCAGGCCTGCCAGCTGAGAGCAACCAGGACATTATCTACCTTCGCGACTGTCCTCACGACTGGGCACCAGAGCACCTTGACCCCTCCCATAGGACTCTACACTGTCCCACTGCTCCACCACCCTTCCCTGGCTCCTCCTGTCCCCGAGCTTCCCAAGCAGACTAGGGAGGTTCCAGCCCTGATCTGTGGGGGGCAGGGACCCACTGGACGCGGCCCTCAGAGTATGTGCAGAGTGGCTGAGGAATATGACTGGGCTGCCTGATGGCCCCAGAGTGGGGTTCCCGCACACCCACAGCCGATAATAGCTGTGGCCCTGACTCTACCTGTGCCTGCTGAACACCCACTCCCACCCAGCTCTACTGAGCCTCACAGAGCTTTTGAGGAGGGAACAATTACAGCTTTTATGAAAGAAGGAAACCACTACAACCAAGTGCGCATACACATATGCACATATGTCCACACACATGCATACACACACAGAGAAGAGCAGTCAAGGCTGATGAGGCCAGGGTAGGGAAACATCCATGTCAGGCCAGCAGGACATCGTGTCCCTTCTCCAAAGAGACCAGCAGCCTGAGAGCCAAGGATCCCCGTTTGAAAAAAATGGGAGGTGCTCAGGGACAAAGCCATGCTTCCTTGGATCCATCTGTCCCCAGAGTGGCAGGGAGGCGCTGAGGGACTAGAGGCACCACACCCTACCCCTGCTAGATGGAAGAAGGGACCATGTGCACATGTGTGTCAGGGTGACCCTAATCACCAGGAGGGTCACACAGAACACGTGCCTGCACGCCCGGACAGCTTCCCCTTCGGCTGGATTCAGAAAGAATTCCCACATCCAAAGGTGACTATCAGTAAGAGAGAAAATGGCAAATAAAACACCACTTAAGAGAGAAAAAAGGACATGCAAAACAAAAAGCAGAAGGAAAATATACATTGAAAATATTTGCCTCACAAAATCCCCAGTCCAAATAGTTTCCCACCGATTCAAATAAATTAGCAAAAAATCAGTCCACTGGAATTAAAAGCCTAAACAGAGGCATCTGGGTTCAAAGGAGAAGCACTGAGACAGTGAAGGCCATGAAGGGGGGAGAGAGAAGGTAATGGAGTGGATCACACAGAGGTGAAGGAAGGGTGACAGAAATGACGGCGGTGAAAGGATAGCAGAAGAGTGTCGAGTGGGATTTAAAGGTACTTCCAACAGAATAGTACAAGTTTCCTGACATAAAAGATGGCGTGAATCCAAAGGCAGATAGATGGGCTGGCTGAACTAGAAGTGGAACAAGATCAGTGATAGCAGATAAAGGAAGGGACTCCACGCCCCATCCCCCACAGGCACCGGGACTCCATTGGCCTCAGAATCTTCCCACCACTGGGGCCTGCAACAGGAGGGGTGGCAGGAAAGTTTCACCTGACAATGGACACCGGACTGTGGATTGGTGGGGGGCAGAAAAGCCCCAAATGAACACTTCTGAACTTGCTAGAACCTTAGGCACTGGCTTTCCAGAGCCCTTCTCTCATGAGATGACAAACTGCAGGCGAGTAAGACACAGACGGTGAGCACTGAAGCCATTTAAAGAGAGAACTGAAGTTAAAATGGCAGTGGCAGCCGTGGTTCCCAAACCAGATAAAAGTGTTCTGTATTGTCTACATTATCAGGTATAATATGACCAAAAATCCTGAGGGGAGGGGAGGGGAGGGAAAGGTGCTACGGGCTTACTGCTCTCCTTTCTCCTGAGGCTGAGTTTGAAGGTATGAGTGTCACCAGGATCAGAACTGCTATTAGTAACAAAACCAACCAAAAACAGGGATGGGGGAGGAGGAGGTAGTGAACCACGGTCCGCATAAGGGAAACAGCCTGTGGTACAAATCTCACCAGCTGTCTGCTTTTGTACAGCCTACGAGATAAGAATGTGTTGCTTTCTTTGGTGTCTTTCTTTCTTTCTTTCTTTCTTTCTTTCTTTCTTTCTTTCTTTTTCCTTCCTTCCTTCCTTCCTTCCTTCCTTCCTTCCTTCCTTCCTTCCTTTCTTAGATGGTTGGGGAATTATTTTTTTTAAAGGATAATTCAGGACAAGTAAAAGTTCTATGGCCAAAACCGGTTTGGCTCAGTGGATAGAGCATCAGCCTGCAGACTGAAGGGTCCCAGGTTAGATTCCAGTCAAGGGCATATACCAAGGGCACATACCAGTAGGGGGTATGTAGGAGGCAGCTGATTGATGTTTCTCTCTCATCGATGTTTCTAACTCTCTCTCTCCCTTTCTCTCTGTAAAAAGTCAATAAAATATATATTTTTTTAAAAGTTCTGTAAAATTCACATTTCAGTGCCCATAAGTAAAGTTTTATTCATGCACAGCAAGAATGGTTTATCTAAGGCAACAGAACTAAGTAGTGGGAGACAGAGCCTACTCAGCTGGCAAAGCTGAAAATACTATCTGGCTCTTTGTAGAAAACATTTACCAACCTCCTGATTTAAAGAATATACAACTAGGAATCTTAAAGTGATACTCATCCAGGAAGCAACTAGAAGAACCCTAAGCAAACATGTTACAAATCTTCCCAATCACTGGGTGAGTAATACCACACACAGGTTCACATGAACATGAAAAACACAGCCATGCCCTGGCCAGAGGGCTCAGTTGGTTGGAGTGCCATCCCATTCACCAAAAGGCAGCTGGTTCCATTCCCAGTCAGAGCACATATCTAGGTTGCCAGTTTGATCCCAGGTCTAGGTGCATAAGGGAAACAACCGATGTTTTTCTCTTACACTGTGTTTCTCTCTCTCTCCCTTCCCCTTCTACCCTCTCTAAAATCAATAAAAACATAGTCTCCGAGAGCCCAGTGCCCGCCGCTGCTGCTTCTGCCGCCGCTGCGATGCCCACCCCAGCCCTCATGCTGAGCAGCCAGGTGCTCCCTGCCTTCCTGCTCTGCAGTACTCTGCTGGTCATCAAGATGTACGCAGTGGCTGTCATCACCGGCCAAGTGCGGCTGTGGAAGAAGGCTTTTGAGAACCCCGAGGACGCCCTGCGGCACGGAGGCCCCCAGTACTGCCGGGATGACCACGACGTGGATCGCTGCCTCAGAACCCACCACAACTACATGGAGACCATCTATCCGTTCTTGTTCCTGGGCCTGGTCTACTCCTTCCTGCAGCCCAACCCCGTCATGGCGCGGCTGCACTTCCTGCTCGTCTTCCTGGGCCGCGTGGTGCACACGGTGGCCTACCTGAGCAAGTTGCATGCGCCCATCCGCTCCCTGGCCTACACGCTGGCCCAGCTGCCCTGCATCTCCATGGCCCTGCAGATGGTCTGGGAGGTGGCCTGCCACCTGTGACCACCTGGCCCTTCGCGCCAGCCCGCTAGCCGCCAGCCCAGGGCTGCACATGGGAACCAGGCGTCCCTTCGAGGTTGGGATGGGCCCCAGGACCTGGCTTCCTGGCTTCCTGGCTGCCTGCTGAGCGTGGGTGCCTGGCCCGGCGGCCTGTGTGTGTCCCCCGGACTCCTGGGTGAAGTGGCCACTTGGAATTGTTTGGAGGAGGCTGTCAAGATGGATAGACAGTTGCTCAGCGGTGTGGCTCAGTGCTTAAAAATCAACCTCTGAACCAGGAGGTCACAGTTCGATTCCCAGTCAGGGCACATGCCAGGGTTATTGGTTCGATCCCCAGTAGGGGGCGTGCAAGAGGCAGCCAATCAATGATTCTCTCTCATCACTGATGTTTCTATCTCTCTCCCTCCCCCTTCTTCTCTGCAATCAATAAAAACATTTCTTTTTTAGCCCTAACCGGTTTGGCTCAGTGGATGGAGCGTTGGCCTGAGGACTCAAGGGTCCTAAGTTTGATTCCGCTAAAAGGCAGGTACCTTGGTTGCGGGCACATCCCCTGGGGGGTGGTGCAGGAGGCAGCTGATTGATGTTTCTCATTGATGTTTCTAGCTCTCTCTCCCTCTCTGTAAAAAAAAATCAATAAAATACATTTTTTTTTTTAAACATAGTCTCCAATAAGGACTTAAAAAAAGAAAGAACGAAAGAAACAGCCATTTATATTAAAAAGAGACATAGGCCCTGGCCAGTGTGCTCAGTGGTTAGAATGTTGATCTGAGCGCCAAAGGGCCATGGGTTCAATTCCTGGTCATGGCCATGTACCTGGGTTGCAGGTTCCATCCCCAGCGGTTGGAGCCCATGTGAGAAATAACCAAACGATGTGTCTCTCACACCGATGTTTCTCTCCCTCCCTCCCTCCCTCCCACAATCCTTCCTCCTTTCCACTCTATCCTAAAAACAATCAATGGCAGAAATATCCTCGGGTGAAGATTCACACACACACACACACACACACATACACACACTCATACACACAAAAAAAAACAAAAACGAAAAGAGAGACAAAGGATGAGTTTGTGTGTCTGTCTGCCCTCACACATGCACACCTATATGTATAAGATGCCAAAGAAGGAGACAGGATGGTAACTATGTTGCCTCCAGGGATAGAAGCTGGGAGATGGGAGGAAGAGGAGACTCAGTCACTCTCTGTCCTCTTGCACTGTTTGAATTTGCCTCCCATGTGCATACTATTTCCAAAAAAGCAACAACAACAATAAAAACACACATTGTTCAACTAAGAATATAAAGGCAAAAACTCAGGCCTGCCGAAACCGGTTTGGCTCAGTGGTAGAGCGTAGGTCTGCAGACTGAAAGGTCCCGGGTTCGATTCCGGTCAAGGGCATGTACCTTGGTTGCGGGCACATCCCCGGTAGGGGGTGTGCAAGAGGCAGCTGGTCGATGTTTCTCTCTCATCGACGTTTCTAGCTCTCTATCTCTCTCCCTTCCTCTCTGTAAAAAATCAATAAAATATATTTAAAAAAAAAAAAAAAAAAAAAAACTCAGGCCTTCCTGGCATCAACTGCCCAGAAGCCTCCCCAGACTCTGGACCTCCTTCTCCCCAGTGGGGTGAGACTTGCTGCCATGATACCCTGGGTGGCCACTGCCCGCTGGGCTGGGCTCAGCACAGTGCTGTCTCTGTCTCTGCCCCAGCCTGCCAGCCCATGCAGGGACAGGGGTGGTGTGAGTCCATTAGGAATTCCAGTGCTTAGAACAGTGCCTGGCATGAGGAAAGAATTCCGTCCTGTTTGTAATAAATGAGGTCAGATGGATCAGTGAACAGGGTAATGGGTGCAACACCTTGGACACGGACACACACAGAGAAGCTGCAGGAGACCAGGATGTCTGTCACCCACCTTGGCCAGGCCTGCCCGGTGGGCTCCCTGGGACTCAATGTAGGCCACATATTTGTTGAAGTCCTTAAATTCTTCCATAGTTGGGCGAAATGTCATGATTTTACAACTGGGGTTCTGGGCCCCATGATCCTCAGACCCCATGGTTGCAGCTGCGATACCGCCACACCTGCGAGGGAAGACAGAAAGCATGAGCAGACGGCGCTGCCACCAGCGGTGCCCTGCTCCATACATCACACTAAAAGCACCGGGGCCCCAGGAAGCAACGCGAGCAGAGAGGAGACTGCCTTGCTCTGCTCTGGCACAAAAGACCAAAATGACTTCAACTAATTAAAAACAGAGGTGTCCTAGTTCTAAAAGCCAATGTGATACTGGAAGCCAGAGCATTGATTTTAAGCTGGGGGCCCTAGGAAATAAAAGCTTTTCGTTTCAGGGACTCAAATCTTTGGAGCTGGACATGCAGAGACATAGGATCACGTGACAGGTTCTGCAAGGTAAGTGAGGTTGTGTCAGCCTGCCTTCTTTTGAGGTACCAGCCTGCAAGCAGGGAGAACCACAACTCCAAGCAGGGCCTACCCCGAGCATATGTGGGTCGCTCCAGGACTAGCCTGGCTGCTGTCAGTGAACCCAGGCCCAGGGATGCATGGGAAGCCCAAGTCCAGAATCTGGAACCAGAGGGTAGAAGGCCAGCCAGAATGGCTCCTTGCCTGCAATTAGATGCTCCAAGGAACCCTCAGTCATAACCATGCCTGGATATTTTGGCACAGAAGGGGAGACCGTGCTATGTCATGCACTCTAAGATTCAGGGAAGGCGCCCGAAGATAACTGGGAACCAGAGCTCCTCTCGGGGAGAAGGGTGCATACTGAAATGGCCCCCTCCTGTCTCTGGAGTTAAGAGGACCCAGTGTCCTCTTGTCGGTGGCTCACCCTGAGCAGGAAAAGGCTCGGTGACAGATTCTGGGAAGGGTCCCTGTTAGCCGATTAAATTTTCCAGTTTCAAAAGACTAGACTCCCACCAGGATTTGGAAAAACTCAGAATCCAAGTGCATACAGACCTGAGAACTTGGAGAATAATTTAACCAAGTTCACCCCACCCCACCCCAAAGTGAGCTGGAAAATGAGAAACCCAAGAAGCCTAAATGGTCCCAGAAAGGGGTGGGAGGGGGAGAGGGGTGACAAGATTCGGCCAAAAGGTGATGCTTGCGGCAGGCACTAGAGGGCAGCACAAACCCAGGATTTGCCACTGAGGCGGTCCCTTTCCCTTGGAAGGGATCTAGAGGCCCCAGGCTCACAGGTACCCTGTCTGGCCTTGCCCCTAACACCCCATCCCATACCTGGGACACATGAGGCTGGGGCTAGGTGGACAGCAGCTAAAGCCCCCCTCTGAGGGCCACACTCTCACTGGATTGCTGGCTAGGGCCCCGGAGGATCCTGACATAAGGGTGGAGGTGAAGGGCAGGAGATGTCACTGCTTCATTGATACATCCAGACTAGGACCCACCATGACCTTGGTCCTATGTCCACAAGTCTCAATTTTTCTCGAGGACAGCCACAAAGCTGAAGTGTGCATGGCAGATCACGGGCTTGTGACATCTCACAACAGCTCTGGACGGGATCACACAGAACCACCAAGAACACATGGTTTATAAAAGGAAAAGGATTGCCACAATCCCTCCTAGGGAGCAGCAGGCACCAGAAAGTCCCAGCTTCAGCCAGGCTGCCTCCCGGGAGCCCTGACCAGTCTTTAAGATTGACCACCATGCCATGTCAGACGGCCCCTTACCTGCAGACATGGCCCAGGACCTGAATCCTGGGACCCCACCCACCCCACCTGAGCCCCAACCCTACCTGCCCTCTCCCCTCCAGCTCAGATGCAGCCACTCAGGGCTCACTGTGTGCCTTCACTGCACAGCGGCAGACAGGACAGCATGTCTGTCCTGGAGAGGCAGACCCTGACCCCAATACTATTGTGAACATTGGTGTAGACCTGAGCTGTGCTAATGGCTATGGAGAAAGAGCGGGAGAGGGCTCCATGGGCGAGGACCTTGAATGAGACACTGAAACAGGAGAGCTAGCTGGCCTTCACGTTCCCACCATACTAGCCACCCATTCCTGTCCATCCCACTTCAACATCCCTCAAGATTTTCCACACACACTGGGGAGGTCAGGGCCTCCACCTATACCACATGGACCATCTAATTTGTCCTCTGAGGCCTGCTGCCAGAACATGATTGAGCAGCCTCAGCCTCTGGTACAAAGCCCTCAATGGCCAGGCAAAAGTCCAGAAGCTGGTTCCTCAGTCTGCCATGGCCACTGATGCCCAGATCTGGAGGCAGTGAACAAATCACGGACCCCCAGCCCTGTTCTATGCTTTTCACAAGGTGACTCGTCCACTCTACACAATGAACCCATTTTTCATTGTTCACTGAGGACAAAGGACCCCACGAAGGGAGGTCACATGCCTAAGCCACTTGGCAAGTAGGTGGTAGGGCCAGATGACCAGCCAGACTCTGAGACAGCCAGAATTTCCCACCTCTCTCCCACTCTAGTGAGTGGCAGGTGCCAACACCTACCCACACCCAACAGCTCTCATGATGAGTTCGGCCAGTCCTGGCCAGCTGGCTGCCTCTCTTCTGAGGCTGGCATCTGAGTCATCTACAGGGAAGGAAGGCAACAGCCTCTTGCAAAGGCCACCTCCCACCCATCCATCCAAACACCCAGCACCACTGGTGGGAGATGACAGTCTCCTCCCCAAGACCAGCTTGTCCCAGGCAGAGCTGGGGCAGCCCCGGGGCCCTGCCCACAGGAGCTCTCTCTCCTGTCAAAAATCATGACACAGAGATGAGTCTTCCATCCAGGAGGTGGAAAAGCAGATGCTGAGACAGCAGGTAGAGTATTCTGCATAGACACACTGGCAAGAGATGCTCCAACCACCGTTATCCAGATTCAGCTCCATGGTAAATTCCATAGGATTTTTTTCTCTCTTATTCATGCCTTTTGAAATGAAGTTTTTTAGTACATAAATACAAAAAAAAATTTTTTTAATGGTTTGTAATCCCAACACTCCATAACCCTTGACACATTTTTTTGAATGAGGGCAAATAAAAATCATATGTGGACATATTTTAAAAATAAAAAAGGAATTTGGATGCCAGTCCTGGGCCAATCTTCTGCTTCACTGGAAACATGGGGGGAAGGGCAAAGGACAAGGGAGGGCCCCAGGGAGGGAGTTCGCAGCACAGTCAGGAAGAGGAACATGCTTGTTACCAAAAAGCAGGGCTCTGACAACTCACTAATACAGAGACAAACAGCCCAATTAAAAAGGTAGGCCGAGCCCTACCTGGTTTGGCTCAGAGGATAGAGCATCGGCCTGCGGACTAAAGGGTCCCAGATTCAATTCCAGTCAAGGACATGCACCTTGGTTATGGGCACATCCTCAGTAGGAGGTGTGCAGAAGGCAGCTGATCGATGTTTCTCTCTCATTGATGTTTCTAACTCTCTATCCCCCTCCCTTCCTCCTCTCTGTAAAAAGTCAATAAAAAAAAAATGTTTTTTAAATAGGACTTGAATATACACAAAAGGTCAACAAGCAGGTAAAAGGGGGCTGAACATGTTAGCCAGCGTGGAAATACAAATCAAAACCACAGTGAGATACCACTCACTAGGATAGCTAGAACAGGAAAACAGACAAAGATAAGTGTTGGCGAAGATGTGGAGAAATTGAAACCCTGATACAATCAGGTGGGAATGTTAAGACGGCAGCATCATTGCGGAAGTTTGGTGGTTTAGAGGAGATTATGGTCAGCAGGATAATACACCACCAACACCCCAACACATCTACATCCTAATGTAGACTATGACTACCCTCCCTTCCATGGCAAAGGGACTTTGCAGGTGGATTAAGTTAAGGACCCTGAGATGGGATAGTCCTGGAAATCCTCAGGGGGCCCATGACATCACAAGGGTCCTTATAAGAGGGAGAGAGATGAAGACTGGATGACAGAGCAACGGAGGCAGAAGCTTAAGTGATTCAAGGAAGGGGCCTTGAGGAGTGGAAAGCTGAAAACACTCCAAGAAATCAGTTCTTCCCTGAAGTCTCCAGAAGGAGCATCCCTGCCAATACCTTGATTTTAGCCCCATGAAACTTGCTTCTGACTTCTGACCCCAGAACAGTCAGGGAATGAATATGGGTTGTTTGCAGTCACCAGGTTTATTGTCACGGTACAACAATCATGGGATGTGCATGCAGAATCACTTTTTCTGAAAAGTGGTTTGGGGTTTTCAATGCATTTGAAAATAGCGAGTTCTAGTCCACACCTGGCCCTAATTAGCCATGTGGCCTGCATCTGAAGTCAACACGGAATACGAAACAGCCTTTCTTAGACCACTGGGAGCAGCCAATGTGGCAGGGAGTGAACAGGACTGTTTGTCCTCCAACCTGTCACCCCCATGGGTGTGAGCTGGGAGGTGATTAGCTTGTTTCATCTCTTCTTACCAGTGACCATCAGAGGCCACCACTTTATCATTTTTTATTTGTATTGATTTCAGAGAGGAAGGGAGAGGGAGAAAGAGGTAGAAACATCAATGATGAGAAAGAATCATTGATCGGCTGCCTCCTGCATGCCCCCTACTGGGAATTGAGCCCAAAACCTGGGCACGTGTCCTTGATTGGAATCGAATCCGAGATCCTTCAGTCCACAGGCTGACATTCCAGCCACGGAGCCAAACCAGCTAGGGCCAGAGGCCACCACTTTAAAACCCTCTGATTTATTAGAAAAGTATAGAAAAAGGTAGACAGCCTGGAGTTGACACCTAGAAGCATCTGAGGAATGGGATTCTTTTAAATCCATTTAAAAAGAATCTTTCATCTTAAATACCCCACCCCACAACCCCTGGCTGTGACTGATCACCATCCTCTGCAGGTTGTGGGGTGGGTGAATAGGGCCTCAGAAAGCCCAGAAGTGGTATCCCACCTGATCCGAATAACACAGACAGAGCAGCCCATCCTAGGCAACCCCAGAATCAATAAAAACTCTCAGTGGTTCTTGGGGCTTCTAGAAGTGAGGGAAAGGCACTCAGATGCTGAAGGGCGAGAGTGCAAACATGGAGTACGCAGACTAGAAAAGAGAAACCCAGCAGAGCCACTCCTAGAGGGTTCTAAGCTCCTCTGTCTAAAGGCATGCAGACCCTGGAGACCCCAAGAACTCAGAATCACATGGGACCTTCTCCCCGCAGCATGCAGCCTCACAGCCACCTGAGAGGAGGCTGTGGCCTTTGGTACCTTAATCTTGCACTTACTTGAAAGTTCCTGGTATATTATGATGGTGAGGCTGCAATGAGAGATGCTCTAGTAACTGGCTTAGATTTCTGTCAGGTTCTAGCAATGGTGATGGTTCCTAAAATACACAAATAAAGGCACGATTAACTAAAGGTATCACAGGCATAAACCTAATTCCACATTACACTCCTAACCCTGGCAGGTAGCCCACAGAGACACTCTTGCCTTTATTCCGATGTTTCCAAATCCTTGCCACTTTGCGGGAACTCAAAAATCCGTTTTAAGCTCATCTTCCACAAATCAGCATCTGAGAAAGCGAGGACCTCCAGGAACAAATTAAACCAGAGAAGCTTTGCCCTAGCCGGTTTGGCTCAGTGGATAGAGTGTCAGCCTGTGGACTCAAGGGTCCCAGGTTTGATTCCAGTCAAGGGCATGTACCTTGGTTGCGGGCACGTCCCCGGTGGGGGGTGTGCGAGAGGCAGCTGATCAATGTCTCTCATCGATGTTTCTGACTCTCTATTCCTCTCTCTTCCTCTCTCTGAAAAATCAATAAAATACATTAAAAAAAAAAAAAAAAGCACAAAAAACCAGAGGAGCTTTTAGAAACTTTAAGGTACAGGCAGCTTCTGAGAGGTTTACAACAAGTTCTGCCTCCTGTGAACTCCCGAAGTCAGGGAAAGCACCCTCCAAAGAGGAAACACTCACGGACAATGCCGCAAGGTGACCACCATCTGCACCCCCATAAGGTGCACACTGGGAGAGCCTGGCAGAGGCTGTGCAGACCCCAACCAGGGCTACGTCCCAACCTAGAAGCTAGTTGGGCAGAGACATCCAGTACCTGTGGAATGGACACAGCATAAGACTCTAAACTTGGGTTTGGCCCCAGGACATTTGACAATCGGGGCTACAGCTACCCCAATTCACCAGCCCTCCCACCCGTATCTCCCCACAGCTCTCCAGACACGTGAGCCCCAGTGGCACAGGGGCTGCCAGATGTTCCCTGCCTCTGGACCTTTGCACATGCTGTATAAGACCTGAGCATCAGGATGGGCCTGACATTCCAGGAAGGGCAGCTTACCCCTTGAACTCAATCCCACACACTTTCTTCAATTTATCAAGAGCTTTTTAAATAGCATGGATTTCACCAATACTCTTACAACAGATAATGCACACTGACATTCTCAATCTTATTTTAAGCTGGTTTTTAAAAGTATTGGGCACAACCCATTTTAGTGATTTCACTGTCTTTTAACAGGTCACAACTGCTGGTTGAAAGGCCACAAGAGGCTGTAAAATTTGTGGAGCTCAGGCTGCACACATCTTCCTCTGGACACAGTAGGCTGTCGCTGGCTCTCCCAAAAGCTCCTGGGTCTCTCCCACCTGCATGGCTGAAGGCTGCCCCACTCCACAGCCCTGCCAGCACCTGACATCGGCCAGAGCTGAAGTCAAAAGATCCAATTGCTGTGAAATCTCTCCATGTAGCCGTAGCTGGCAGAATAACAGCCGCCAATGATGTCTACGTCTGAATCCCCACAACATGTGGCAATGCTCCCTTCTGGGGCAACAGACACTTTGCAGATGAGATTAAGTGAGGAATATTGAGATGGGAAGGGTATCCTGAATTATCAGGTGGGCTCTGTCATCTCAAGGATCCTTGTAAGAGGAAGGCAGGAGGGCCAGAGTCAGAGGTGATGTGACCACGGAAGCAGAGATCAGGATGACGTGCTATGAAGACGGAGGAAGGGACCATAAGGCAAGGATTGCAGGTGTCTCTAGAATAAGCATGTCAAACTCATGGTCCATGGGCTGCATGCAGCCCACAATGAATATTTTTGCGGCCCAGCCAATGTAACAGTATGTAAGAAATGTTTTAATAAAAATTTTGTAACTTAATTTTTACAATAGCTTATTATACATAATCATTAATAACGAACTACAACGTTCACTAATGACTGATTACTATAATAGTGTTGCATCCATTTCCCTTACGAGCAGGCGCACCATTTCTCTCCACTAATACCAGCAGCAAACATTTTATCAGCCGATTGACACATCATTAGTCTTGGACTGACGTGTTTGGTGTGCCCAACAGGAAATATTTCGCTTTGGGAGAACAAGAGAAATAGGTTTATTTACGTTACGCTATTAATTTGTGCAGTTATTTGGTGTCTGGTAAGTTAATATTCAATAAAAAATATTAATTTTTATTAAATGTTCTATTATTTTATGTTAACGATTACTCATTTATTTCAGCCCTTTGTATTCAGCATGTCTTTATCAAAATAAACCTATGTTCCTATGAAAATTGAAGCTTTTGTTTTTCATGGCCCACAGAAACTTACACCTTGTTTATTTAGCCCATGTTATCTTTTTGGTTTGACATGCTTGCTCCAGAAGCTAGAAATGACAAAGAACTGAGCTCCCCTAGAGCTTCCAGAAGGAATCAACCTTGACCACACCTTGATCTTGGCCCCATGAGACCACGCCAGACTTCCAGCCTCCAGAACTGTGATAACAAAAGTGTGTTGTTTAAGTCACTAAGTCTATGGTCATCTATCAGGGCAGCAAAGGAGACTAATGCTACAAGCTTCAGTGTGTATTTTCTTGATCACAGAGTAGGTGAGGAGTCTTTTCATTGTTGCTAACCACACAGACCTCTGCTATGAGCTACCAGCCCCTTTCTCTCATCCATGTCTCAATAGGATCATGTGTCTCCCTTGTCACTTATAACTGTCTCTTCCTGGACGTGGGCTGCCCCTACCAACACATGGTCTAAAAGGCAGAGAAGCCATCAGGACTTGTGGTTCTCAGCTGGACACACCCCAATCTGCTGCTGCCCAGGGCTGCTGGGCCACCCAGACTGTGGGTTCTTCTGCTCTCATACTTTGGGGGCCGAAAGCATCAACCCCCAAGCCAGGAGGCTAGAAGCTCTAGGGCTGAGGTCAAGGCCCAGTTCTCAGGCCTCTATCCACCCTGACCTATGTCTACAATGGACGAAGGTCCAGGCTAACCCACGTCCACTTCTCCTCTGAAGCCTCCTCTGAAGGCTCCCCTGCAGGCTCTGGGATGCAGAGGCCTGGCCTCACACTGAGCCAGAGACTTGCTTGGCACAAGGCAGCCAGGGTGGAGGGATCAGAGGACCCCTATGTATGAACTGCACAGAGTGACTTGCTTCCAAAAGGGGGAGTGACTTTACAGTGGAGAAACCTGGCAATCACAATTCAGTCAGGGGATCAAAGTCAGTGTTAACAATAATAAGTGAAAGTGACATATGACCCTAGATATGATAGAATGGAAAGGGTTCTTCACCTCTGGGGTCTTCCTCATAGAATACGTCACCTAGTCCAGTGGTTGGCAAGCTCATTAGTCAACAGAGCCAAATATCAACAGTACAACGATTGACATTTCTTTTGGAGCCAAATTTTTAAAACTTAAACTTCTAACTCCACTTCTTCAAAACAGACTCGCCCAGGCCATGGTATTTTGTGGAAGAGCCACACTCAAGAGGCCAAAGAGCCGCACAATTGGCCGACCACGGGCCTAGTCTAACAATGAGAAAAACACCAAACAAATCCCGATTTAGAAACTTCCTACAAAATCCTTGACCAATCCTGCTCAATACTACCAAAGTCACCAAAAACAAGAAAATCTGAAAAACTGTCACAACCTTGAGGAGCCTAAAGAGATATGATAACTAGGAAGATAAATGATCCAATTAAAAAATGGGCAATGGACCTAAATAGAATCTTTTCAAAAGAAGACAGAAGGAAAGCCAAGAGGCACATGAAAACATGCTCAAGTCACTAATTATCTGAGAGATGCAAATCAAAACGACAATGCGGTACCATCTCACACCTGTCAGAATGGCTATCATCAACAAATCAACAAACGACAAGTGCTGGCGAGGATGCAGAGAAAAAGGAATCTCGTGCACTGCTAGTGGGAATACAGACTGGTGCAACCACTGTGGAGAATAGTATAGAGTTTCCTCAAAAAACTGAAAATGGAACTCTCATTTGACCCAGTAATCCCACCCCTAGGAATATATGAAACTAGAAACACCAATCAGCCGAAACCGGTTTGGCTCAGTGGTGGAGCGTCAGTCTGCGGACTGAAGGGTCCCGGGTTCAATTCCGGTCAAGGGCATGTGCATTGGTTGTGGGCGCATCCCCAGTGGGGGGTGTGCAGGAGGCAGCTGGTCGATGTTTCTCTCTCATCGACGTTTCTGGCTCTCTATCTCTCTCCCTTCTTCTCTGTGAGAAATCAATAAAATATATTTTTTTAAAAAGAAAAAAAAAAGAAACACCAATCAAAAAGGATATATGCAGCCCTATGTTCATAGCAGCACAATTTACAATAGCTAGAATCTGGAAACAGCCTAGGTGCCCATCAGCAGATGATTGAATCAAAAAACTATGGTACATCTACACAATGGAATACTATGCTGCCATAAAAAAAGAAGGAATTCTTATCATTTGCAGCAACCTGGATGGAATTGGAGAACATTATGCTGAGTGAAATAAGCCAGTCATTGAAAGAAAAACACCACATGATCTCACTCATTTATGGATAATAAGGAACATTATAAACTGATGAACAAAAAGATATATACAAAGACAGTAAAGCAACAAACAGATTGTCAAATTACAGTGGGGAGGGGAGGAAGATATTGGGAGAGATAAGAGATCAACCGAAGGACTTGTATGCATGCATATAAGCATAACCAATGAATGCAAAACTCTGGGGAGGGAGGGCATATATGGGGGGTGGGGGATGGGGGGTGGGGGGAATTGGTAAGATATGTATACATATAATACCTTAATTAAAAAAATGAAAGGAAAAAAAAGAGATGTGATAACTAAATGTCATGTGGGAGAGAGAAACCAAGATGGTGGCCTACGTAAGCATTTAAGCTGCCGCCTCGCACAACAATTTTAAAACAACATCTAAAAGACAGAACGGACATCATCCAAAACCACAGGAAAGCTGGCTGAGTGGGAAAATCTGTAACTAGAAAAAAGGAGAGAGGCTCACGGATCAAGGGAGCTGCAAAACACGGAGGTAAGGAGACACTCACGCACAGAGAGGAAGGGCGGCCAAGTGCCTGGCTGGTGGGAG